AGAGAGTCACACTTCATTTTTGTAAGTTGTTACTAAAGCAGCTTTATTTTTGCAAGGTATTTCACTGTAGGGGCATTTTAAGGTCCTTGTTGAGTTTCTAGTCGTATGTTTCCAGGGAAGAATAAATGTTTTATAGCCCTGAAGACTCCTATTAGCATGCTTAGCAGGGTTGCTCAGAGAATGAAATTCCATAAATGTGATTGTTTTCACTGAGTATGAAATGTCATGGCAGGTGAATCAGCAAAAGCTGGGTTGGGTGACACTAATGCCTGCGAGAGAAAAATCACAGACAACAGTGATACGTTTATTCTCCTAAAATGTTCTGTGACTGCCTTCAGCTTGGCATAGAACATCACGGACATGGGCTGTGCGTAAAATAGGCTCCCAGATCCACATTGTGTAACGATGAAGGGTGGTCCCATTTTAATCAGAGAACATTAGGAGATGCCAAATACGAGGCATATGTCTGAGAATCACAACACGTCTCTATGACTCTAAATCCTGCCTCCATTTTAGCAACAGAATCTTTCATAATACGTCATTTTAATGAGGTATTCAGTGCGAGAGGGGCTTTATTGTAATATTTCTGGTATTTAAAAAGTTCTTCTGGTACTCGGAAGCTGAAAATGTCGGGTCATTTTAGTACTGGTTGTACCCCACATTTGACCTTCTCTCGCTAGGAGTATGCAAACTCTCAGCTAAAGCAGGGATATTCAGCAAAGCTTTGTTATATGTCAAGCATGAATTTTACTGACAGAAATTCTTTTTCAAGGAATAAAGTACGCTGTTGTATGTACTGTCCTTCACAAAACACCCTTTCACCCATGAGACTAACAATATTTTAACAAATTAGCTTTTCTCATACTTGTCCATTTTGTTAACTAGTTGTTTTCTGGCGTGTGTCAGTGGCCATCCAGCATTTCCATCTAACATGATCATTCCACATCATCTCCATCATTAAATACAACATATTTTGGTCTCAACAAAGCCAGAAACAAAACAACCAAAGACTAGCAAAAATAATCTGGATATCAAATAAGGTGCCTTGGATAGCAGCATTATTGACCTTCTGTTTTACTATCACCCCTTTCTATAAAATCAAAAGGGGAGGGAGGCATTTCAGGGGGGTGTTAAAAAAAAAAACAGCACCAGTTCATCAACAGAAAATATTTGCTCTTATTGAAAGTGCATGACCACAGCAAAGAAACAGATGACATATACAGGAACTAAAAACTAAATCCAGTAAGGCAGTAAAAGACTTGCTGTTGTGTTGCTGTTGTAGATAACACAGTGCACCGTAATCAGAATGTCCTCCCCAAGGTGCAGATGAACAACCTCATTTATATACAAAAAAAGGATGGCAGATGAAAGAAAACCAGGAAAAAAAGTCCTTTCTGAAAATACAACACAAATCATATGTAACACGTGCTGCTAAGTCACGGAAAAACTGTGCACACCATTCAAAGTATTTACAAAAGAAGAATAAATTGCATTGAGCAATGAACATTTTCTGTTCCTCAAATAAATACTTGACACATGTACTATTACTGGTGGCAAACCAATGTTTGGTACAGGATTACTATATATGTTTAACCAGACCAGAGAAACATTATATCTACAAGAAATAGAACTATGACTCGTACAGAACTTGCTAAGGCCAGTCAGATTGGTCTATAGCTTTTTAGGTTTAAAGACAATCGGACTGGCTGACAGAATGCTTCCTGTCTGTAAGGCTGTGAATAGATGTTGGATGGCTGAGGTTTAGCATGACATCAGACCTAATGGTGGGTGACATACATGTATATAAGTTCACTTCTGGTAGGTTGCATGTAGCTTCCTGGGGCCTTGATGGCTGCTGCTTCTTGGAGCCAATAGAGGTAACAGAGGTGAAGACAGAAATGAGCCTTGTGTGGTACTTCGTCCTGATGACTCTGGCTGAGCGGTAGAGGTCTCCGATGAAGCAGTAACAGAAGGGATTTAGGCTGGAGTTGGTGAGGCCCAGCCACTGGGCAAAAGGTCGAAGCTGCAGCACCCACGGTGGCGGATGTAATACTCGGTCAATCCATAAGTCAGCCACATAGAGCGGCAGCCAGGAGACAGCGAACAGAAGGACCAAAGCCACCACCATCTTGGCGATCTTCTTGCGGGTTTTGAGGCGGGCAGTGTACATTACCTGGCTACGGGAGTCACTAAAATTGTGGGGCATGCTCCACAGCCTCCTTCCTGTCAAGAAGCCCACGGTAAGGTTGAAGGTTACCGGGAGACAGTAGAGGGCTACAAAGAGCACAACATTGTAGGCTTGCTTCAGTCTCGCCTGAGGCCAGAGCTCTCTGCAGATGGGCAGCACAAAGGGCTGGTCCTCCATTAGGAGGATCTCATCGCGCTTATTCATGAAGATGAGGGGTGAACAGATCCCTGAAGACAGGACCCATACCACAACGATGGTCCAGAAGATCTTCCTCCAGGTTATGAATGACCGAGCATTCAGAGGGTTTTGGACACTGTAATACCGGTTGATGCTGATAACAGTCAAGCTGAGGACGCTGGCCGACACAGAAACGGCCTGGGTGAAGGGCACTGCGCGGCAGAGGAAGTCCCCGTACACCCAGGCAGTGTAAATCGTGTGGCCAAGGGTGATGGGCATGCAAACACACACCACCATGAGGTCGCACACAGCCAGGTTGACCAGGAGGCTCCGGGTGGCACTGACCCCCGGGAACCTCTTGCTTCTGTGGCTGCTGAGCACCCAGATGGACATGACATTTCCAACAAAGCCCACGGCAAAGGAGAGCGCGTACATGACAGTGAGCGCGATGGTGGTGGGCTCCCGGATGGTCAGCAGGATCAGCCGTTCCAGCTCGGCGCGCTCGTGCAGGAACGAATCCCTGCTTGTGTTCTCTGCTCGGCCAGAAGATCCGTTCTCGTATGACAGGAAATGGAATAGATGCGGCTCAGACGAGTAGTGCTCAAAAGATACATTCATCTCTGTTTGGTTGCCGAGGTCCTCCTCAGTGACAAGAATGATCACATATTCACTAACTCCAAACAGAACTGAGAAATGAGGATGATTATCTCCTACATCACTTTCAAGAAAGGTCATCTGTCCCTCGAATATGTAGAATCTGTCCGAATAAAGATGACAATCGATTATTTTCTCCTTTGTCTGTGACTGTTTATATTAACATTAATGTATAATTCATCAATTAAACTTCAATACCGCAGAAGAATTGTTAAGCAAGAACTTGTTTAATAATGTGTAAACTGCAATGTACATTGCCCATAAAGAGACAGGGCTGGAAAAAAATATTTCTAAGCAGTTTTGCGCTCCCTCGTAATTTTAGATGAAACGCAAATATTTTGCGAGTTAATGCAAAACAGTTTCAAGTTATATTTTCTAGCCCTGTCTTTTATGGGCTCCGTAGTAATGTTACCTAAACTTTTTCTTGACTCACATTGACATGCCTGGTACTCAAACGACTTACTCATGCACAAACGACATACTATCAGTTTTATTTGAAACATTGTTAATAGTATTTTATTTTATTGCTCTATTAGGAAGTCAAAATAATTCTTAATTATTCAAAATTTTAAAATTTGGCATCAGAAATGAATGTATTCGTGAACAGAAATAAAATACCGATTTACAGACGAATCCTAATATTTAGGATTAGGCACATTCGTAAAAAAACAGACCGCCAATCACAGCTAAAGCGTTTTTTTTCCCGATGATTAAAATTACATTTTCATAGCCCTAATCTCTCCCACTTTATCATATTCAAAAATTAGCAGTTTACAAATAGAGAATCACTTGCCTTTGATTTCATCACTGTGATCAGAATCCGACGAAAGAAAAGGGTGATAGCATTCCCATCCCAGGAGGTGGCCGAGTTACTTTTTTGACTGGTTTACATTAAATGTAGAAATAAACATACGGGGCGACAAGACATGTCCACCTGCTCGCAAGTGGAGAATGACTGCGGCTCTTCAAGCCCGGCAAGAAGCTGATGAGCCGGGAGCCCCAGCGCCAGATGCTGAGTCAAATCCAGACGCTCTGAGCGACGACTTGCAAAAGCAGCGGTTCCAGGTGTTTGATTCCCTGCTGCATAAATGTGACTCACACGTGTATCATGACGCTTTCTATTGAAATTAATTCATAACTGTTGCAGCCATTTAGCCAATTAGATATACGGTGTGCTAGATTTGGACTGGGGATGTGGAACGCTAAGGGAGTTGATGTGCTGGCTTTTATTAAACTAAGGTTACGATGGTAATTAGGTTTGACCATAAATGTGAATTTAATTGCAGTCGATCTGAAAATGTCTGATAATCGATAATCGAGTCTATAATCGTTTAACCTGTACGAATAATGAACACCATACTGTGTGCTTTTTATTTATTTTGTTTCTTAGTAAAGATTATTTAAGGACACTGAGACTTGAAGACAATAGCATTAGCCTATATAACATAATTAATCTAAAAGGAGGACAAATATACAAATAGTATCCATCCATCCATCCATCCATATAGGGTCGAGTTGTAGGAATACATACAACTGTATTTCTAAATTGGTGCTATATTCCAATTAAATTAATTAATGCTAATAAGTATAGCTCTGCCTAACTCGGTTCTTCCAATGTATTATATTTAAGACAAATAAGACAAATATATACAGCATATATGTACAAGCTGCAAAAATCTCTGTCTAAAGTGAGAGTGGCAGGCATGCATATTGATATGAGTACAACTAATCCGTGGTAACAGAAGAAGAATTAATGGTATCCTGGAAAAATGGGATTTGAAGAACTCTGGATTGCCGGTCTGTTTTGCCTAAACACGTCATAGCTGAGAAGGAAATCTTGGACGTGTCTCAAAATATCCATCCTTGTAAATTTCTCACCTGTGTCTAAATATACACGTACATATCTGCAGAGGCTCATAAGGCGTTTTGAAATATGTAATTCTTTTTCTGCTGATTTTTCACAGAAGATAAAAACAAGGGATATTGTGTAGGTTCACTTTATTTAAATGCTTTTTGTATGTGTTTGCAAGCTATTAGTTTTGGACAAGTTATCAAATGTTGTTTTGGACGTGACACATTTGAAAGCAAATGTAAAACATTTAAAGCTTATTAAAGTCACACACATTCAAGCGTATTAAAAAAAAACAGAGAGCGAATAATTTAGTATAAAGAAACAAAAGTTCACAGCCTAATTTGTTAAAGAGCAATTGTGGACATATGATTTAGCCTAATTCCTTGCGTAGTTATTTTAATAAAACGTTTTTTTGGTGATCATCAGGGAGGAGATATTCACGTCATTCGCCACCTGAACCTTAGTGATAGTCTTCAGGTCTTCGACGCGATGCTTGTACTGCATGATCTTTACCTCGTCGATGTACACGTGGAAGCTTTCATTATCCGAGTAGATTTCAATCTAAGAGAGAAGGGACGTTTTCCAGGTGAGTCATATGACCTGGGACATCAAACAGATGCTGTTTTCAAGAAGACACTGCGCCTGCCTGTCTGGAGCAGGCATAATAGCAGTCACTAATTATAGAAGGTCCTATTCCATTTTTACCCGTATAGGAGCCTCCGTCATACTATATATGTAATAGAATCGTTGCCGACTTTCATTCAGACGGCAAGCACGCAATTACAGATTATTAGGAGAAATTGTCTATCCACGATTGTTAATTAAGACAATGGACAGGTTGTTTGGAGCTAAAGCTACAGTACCTGAAAGGCCTCCTCTTTCTCGAAGGGGAAAGTGCTGCAGTGCTCCTCCTGTCCCCAGCGGCTGGACATGAAGGAGTTGCACACGATTTGGGACTCCGCGAAACGGGGGTTGAAGTGGAAGGCGATCTCGTCACCGCACTTGAAATTGATTTCAAATCTGGAGGGGGGTACAGTATGAAAGGGAAGTATTAAGAAATTAATGAAAAGTAGAGAAAAATTAGCGGGGATAATCCTATCATTAGGCCAGCTGCAAGTAAGCGAGTCTGGACTAGGTGTCGGTCATACAGTATGCAGGGGAGATGCGTGATTTAATATGGCTAATAAAACGCATTAGAGATTTTTCTTCATGCAACCGGTTTTGGAACTGCGCGTTTATGTCACGTAGGCTACGTATTTTGCACACAAATCTGAGAGTTAAATCGGCTGCTTAATTTTAAAAGCAAATAAATGAATACCTTTCCATTGCATGGTTTTTCACCGCGGTTCACTTTTCTCCAGCAGGATTTCTAGAAGAGACGTGTCCTTCGTTTCCTCACAAAGTTTCAAAAGCATACTCGTTGTCCTGGAATCGCCCCAATTCTTTTTATTTATAACAAAATAAATAAAATAAATAATTTTTAAATTAAAAAAATTTGTTTTCTGTTACCCAGCTGTTTTAGACCATTTTCTCGCTAAGTCATTAAAACTCACGTCACACCCATGTAATCTTCAGCCTTATGGTTTTCTCCCTCAAAGTAACGAGTTAACTCAGTGACAGAGGAGATTTCCATTATAGCTCAATGCTGTAGCTGACAGTTCAGGCTCTGATGGTGCAGGACGGGAATGGCGGGATTGACCTGCGGCTTCTGCAAGACCTCGGGAGATTAACAATAAGCAATGAATCGATTTCTGCCTGGCCCTAGTCGATCTTATCTTACAACCCAGAAAGGTTCAGTTAGAATATTTTCATTTTTCATTTTTGGATACTAGTGAAGCAAATAGTACGACAAACATGCGTCCGCCGAGGACTCGACTAGGCATACGTAAAGTTAGGCTAATCTTCCGATGATTTCAGAAGAAATCTAATTAAGACGCCGTATTTCATCTGCAGGCCCTATATAGTAGTTTAAATCCTTTAAAACACATCATTAAATTTTATTTTAAAAAAATGGACGAGGCAATATGTCCACAACATTCAATATTAAAGAAAATATTAGGACACTCTGTAAATATTTGTGTTTGCTGTACTCATTTTTATTCATATACTGGTTTTGGAAAACTGTTTCTGACAATGAATTCATTAAAGATAATTAAGCGGGTTGTTTTAGGGATGCCAAGACTGAGCCTTTTGGTGGTTACACTTTGTCCTGATTACAGCATTATTTTATGCTGATACTCCATTGATTTTCCATACTTGCTTGGCCTATGTAGGGAGTCTATCCCAGAAGCTATGGGCACAAGGCAGGGAATAATCAAGGATGGAGCACCAACACATTACAGGCAGAGTGCGAATTATCCCTCCATAATTGGGGGGTACTGCCTTCATAACACTTCTATGACCATTACGGTCCGCTACCGCGTCAATATGAATAGTTGCCACCAGGTTCAATGTTAAGAGTGCAAGATGCGTAGGGGTGTTTACTAACATGTTTGCAACACACGGTCATGGTCTGGACATGCGACAAAATGAGAATCAATACAGAAGATCTCATTATCCTTATCCCTATCCAAAAGAACTTGGTTTTGATAACTGCCAGGAATTATCCTAGAAGAAGTATACTAGTAAAAGTAATAAGCCTATACATTTACAAACAGCCTGGTCTGGTCCAGCAGTCTGGTGTTATTCCTGCCCTCTCAGTCCCCCCAGCTCCAACAGCCTTCAGAAATGAATATTTGCCTATTAGGCTAATATCTGTCTTGATGATACAGTAGATCTTAAAGTACAGCCTAATTTCTAACTCACCTCTTGGTTCTGCATGCTGTTTTCATCAGTGATGCTGTTTGCTCACTGTCCTGCACACTGTCCTCATCCTGCCATCTTCCTGCTGCCTGCACACTGTCCTGCACACTGTCCTCATCCTGCCATCTCCCTGCTGCCTGCTCACTGTCCTCATCCTGCCATCTTCCTGCTCACTGTCCTGCACACTGTCCTCATCCTGCCATCTTCCTGCTGCCTGCTCCTGCGCCTCTCCTGCCTTCTGCTGACCACCACTTTCCTTCATACACATTAAGTTTGCAAAACTGCACCTATACTTTTGGTGTAATGTTCTGTAGCTCTTAACACTAATATTTCCTACTTACTCTTCTTTTACTACCAAAAAAGTGTCTGATGTCTCCATCTAATCTATGTTTAACAAAACAGTATCTGGGCTACCAAATGAAGCTTCTAAAAATGTCCATAAATATGAAATTGTGGAATTCAGAATCAATACCACTAAAATTCAAATAATAAGGCTTATTATTTGCTAGATAGTTTTTTTTACCTTGGCCCTATAGGTTTCACTTATATAGTAATGTTTTTTTCAGAGCATAACGTTAGACCTTATATGCATTAACATTGGCCTAATAACAAACCACACGGGCTAAATGGCGAATTAATTTCAGAAAGACACAATTTATTCATGATAAAATGAGAATGAAAACATAGGGAGTTCATCTCCTTGGAAAATGACCATGATTGATTTTACCTCACCGAATAAACCTGATTTAAACAGAGAAATTAGCTTATCTTGCTAGTTAACGTAACTAACGTTGACTATACCGGCCTCAGAAGGACAATGGTAAGTAATTCAACTTATAAAGACGTCAGCTTGCATTAGTAGATGAAACACTTAAACGAATAAATGAAGGTTGTAAAATAACACATTTTCGACAGGCTAAACTTCTGCTGGCTACTTACATTTACCAATGCACGACAAACAGTAACATGACGGACGAACACAACAGAGAGACTCAGGAGGAGTTTCTATCCTCATGCCGTAAGACTTCTCAACCAGGACATGACACCACTACCTCTTAAATATTGTACAGTGGATGCATAAACTGCCATGTACTTATCAAGGCAAACTTCACTGCACACTGCACTTTAAATACTTTACTTATTTCTGTTCACTGTATATTGCACAACAATCATCTCATGCGTCACCACTTGCCACTTCTTTTTTTCTTTTTTAATTCTATGTATATATTGTCAAATTCATTCTTATAATTTGTCTGCACTTTTTATATTGTCTGCACTTTTTATATTTTAAGCTATTGTACATTGTAATTTAAAATTTTGTTAACTCTTTTTTGCACAGTCTTTGGATCGGTCAGGGTTCATTTCACTACATGTTGTACTTGTTATAACTATGTATGTGACGAATAAAGAATCTTGAAATCTTGAAATCACAACGAACATGTCACTCAATGAGAATGAATGATGCAACCGACTGGCTATAAGCTGCTTCTAGCGCCGATGTGGTTAAAATGGTACGGTCCACACTAGGGGTGTCTGAAATCGTTTTACATAAAATTTTCCTACAAGGTGAGGTTCTCTTTCTTTTTTTCTTTTTCTTTTTTATTTACAACAAAAGAAAAATGCTAAGGACGCCCCCCCCCCCAAACTGCTATTTTTGTCTATTTGGGGGGGTCTTGGTCTTGATCAGGGGGTACTGTACCCCCCGTAACATACAGTCTGACAATTTGGTAATTCCAATTAAACTTTGCCTGTTTTTGGGCTCTGGTGGGGTTTGGACTGGAGAACGTGGAGGAAACCCCATGATGACACGGGGAGAACATGCTAAATCTGCACACGTACAGCTAGGTCAGAGACTCAAACCTTGGTTTCCTTGGTTGCTAACCACTGTAATGTAATGATAGTTCATTATGGAATTAAATAAATAAAAAAAACATGGAATCTTAATCCATTCATCGATCTTCCATAGGGTTGTGGTGAAAATTTATTTACTTGCTGAAACAAACAGAGATTAGGTAAGCCCTGCATGTTGTCTGATTTACAAAGCAGTTATTACAGGTTATTATTCTGCTTCAGAAACACAGCGAAGTCTCTTGAAGCTGCCCGGCACGTCCAGAGCAGGACACTTACTTGCTGGCATCGGAAGGAGGCTTCCCTTTAAGGATGACGCTCCATCCAGGGCACAAGCCATCAAGGTGGGAAGCCTCAAACTAAGACAGGAAAAAAGAAAAAAACAGACTGGCTTTGAAAAGGCAAAGTACTCCGGCATTTATGCAGGGAACAGAGTGTACAGTGACAGCTCTGTGACCCTGGAATGGGGAACTTTTATTATTTTATTTTTCCTCACCCACACATGACTGGGGACACGGTGATGAAAAGCTACATTTCTATAACCAGAGATGTAGTGCCAGCCAGCTCAATTCACAGATTTAAGTCAATGTACAGTTACCTACAATCTTTAACTCAATCTTTAAACTAAAAAATTTTGCACATAGAACACAATTTAAAATGAATGGAAATCGTTAAAAGAAAACTTTCTACAGTGCTTCAGTCTGAGGACCTGGACCTATACTGAGTGATTAAATACCAAAATGATTATTGATGGAATGCACTTAGGACAGTCATGCTTTACAGTCCTGTGTAACCTACATAAATGGGATGACACACAAGTCCGGATTCATTTGCAGAAAAAAAGAAGAAGAAAAAAGGATTAACAGCTGAATACCCAGAGGTAGACTTCTTTAAAATTAATTAATTAAATAATGACTGTATATGTTATACATGTTACAGCTGGGCATCACTAAGGAGGGATGACCTACACAGTGGCTGTCAAAAAAGGGGTTTATTAACAAATAGAACACAAATGGAGAACCAGAAAGTAAAGGAACCATGAGAGGTCAAAACAAAAGAGGTAAAATTTGAAATAAAACTAAAAATCTAACTAGCACTGAAACTGGGAAGACATGTGGGAACCAAGCAAGGAGTAAAACACTAATGACACAGGAACAAACACACAGTAACAACTATAATTGACCACCAGTAACACAGGGCAAACAGCCACAATGACAGACTAAGGAACAGAACAAAGGCAGGCACTGATGACAAAGGCTAACGAGGGGCAGGTGAGGGCTACTACAGGCTAGGGGCAACAAGGGGCAGGTGAGGGCTACTACAGGCTAGGGGCAACGAGGGGCAAGTGAGGGCTACTACAGGCTAAGGGCAACGAGGGGCAGGTGAGGGCTACTACAGGCTAGGGGCAACGAGGGGCAGGTGAGGACAATAAACAGATACAGAAAAGGTCCAAACACTAAGGGAAACTAAAACCAGGAAAACCAAATGAACAGTGAACATGGAGAAAAGAACAAGGAACTGTAACTGAAATACCTAAACGCACATGAAACCAAGAGAACACAAAACAAAAAACCTTACATAAGTAATTGAGGCAGGCCTCCTGCCAGCCTCCAACCCACAACCAAAACCATTAAGCCAAAACAGTAACAAATTGGACAGCCAGTAAGAACACACAAGGGACTGGGCCAGATGGCCACCGACCCTGTTAATATACACACACACAGACACACATATGCACAGATTAGGTATCTATATCTTTGTGGGGGCTCTCCATTAATTTCCATGGGCTTAACCCTAATCCCAACTATGACAACCTTAACCTCTGCCTAGCTCTAATCTTTACTATGAGTAACCAAAGAAAATACGAGACTTTTTAGATTTTTAATTTTTTGATTGCATTCACAGATGTCAAAAAAACTGGTTTTTATTATATTGTGGGGGGCATTTTGTCTCTACAGTTTAATATAAACCTAATCCACACACACACACACACACATTGTATGGAAACTTCCTAATTATTACCTATTATTGGATAATACTTATTCATTGCCCCACACAGGCAGATATCTGTTATGGAAAGGCCTCTTTCAAAAGTAAACCAATGATATATTTTTCATAGACGTCAAATACTTCTGACATAGGAAGTCCTGCAGTGATGATTTTGAAGCTACTTTGGCCCATCTTTGTTTATTTATCCATATTAAAATAAAGAAGCAAATCCGCAGCTTGTCGTCTGATAGGGCATCAGCTCTCTGCTTTCAACAGGTGGTAGCTGCTGAAAACCCATCAAGACTCTTCGGGACATCATCCTGCAAGTTAAAATATTTTAACATGTGGCTTGTGTATTAGCTGGAGGTGGCAGCCGTTAGGCTCTGTGAAATGGAAAATTGCTGAGACATGCATCGTGTCCTCCTTTGACTCTCCAAATGTATGGGAATAGTTGAGCAATTGTAATGCTTACATAACCCCTCACCAATAACCCCCCAGTTAAGCAGCTGGTATTTCGATGCACTATAGGTAAATTTAATGGAAGAGGAAAATTCAACATAATGGGAATTACTTCCTGATAATGATCTCAGAAGATGAGAGATGGCTTTCGGCACCTTGGCAGACCTAGTGGAGAAGCAGACCAGGTATCTGATGAAGTGCGGGAGCTTGTCACCCTCTCTGCTTGCTGGAGAGATGTCCTAGAAGCATGTATACTCCCAGACCATGCTGGCATCCCCATGGTAAATTGGCAGCTATTACTCCTGATCAAAGTATTCATTTTGAATTGCTGCAGAAAACAATAATCGTCCGCTGAGATTATCCACTCATTTTCTGAAATTTATTTTTCTAAATTTTGTGCCAATGCCTCTGTATTTAGGTTATATTCTGTTAGAAATTAATTAAAATGGGTTATCTTTGGAACAGACCTTCTATGTAAATTAACTGTCCCAATGAACAGTGCTTTAGTCGCACATTCTCAGTGGAAGAAGTGTCTGTATATGTGTGTGTTTGTGGGTGGCGGGGGGGGGGGGGATCTCTTGGACTAACAGCATATCCCAGAAGAAAACTGTTAATACCCCTGATTTCTAAGCTTAAATACAGATACTGTGTTAGTCATTTATTCCTTCTAAACATAAACCCCTTTTGTTGCAAAATCATCTTGCATTTCAAGCACTACCTTGTTCATTTTCATTGAAACAGGAGTAATTTAAAGATAGACTGGGGAACTGAGATGGAAAAAGCTTCCGAGACCCGGTCATGTACATAAAGCTCCAGAGAACAAAGTGAAATCATGATTCTCATTAACATGCGGAAGGATGGATGATAACCGTTCCCTTATTAACCCCACGAGAGGTTCTGGAGAAGCTAGGAGAGCACTCAGGAAAAGAGTGGAGGGCAGGGCAGCTGCCCAGCTAGCTCAGTATGCGAAAAGCATGCAGAGAAACACGTTCCCGCTGCCCCGAGTTGCCCCAGGGGTGTTATCTTACCCTTAATGTCATTTTCTCCCCTGCTTCCTGGTCCAGTCCCAGGACTTCAGCTGCTTTTGCCAGGGGCACCATCATGCTTTTAAAGCACAGGCCACGTGAGACACTGGCTTTATGGGGATGAGGGCAGTGAAAGGCCACAGCGGACCTCTGAGCTCATCCCGGGTCCAGCCTGCTCCTACGTACATACACTGGCTTTGTTGGGGGGTTTGTAAACATTGTCCCCACATTCTTTAGTTGATTCGCCTATGAATCATCTCTGCCTCATACTATACCTCAGCTTCATCACACTGTGAGGCACCAGCCAATGTGTCTTCCTTGTATTTGCTTCCCAGTTGCTATAACTGTCAAATTATAAGCTAGTATCCATACATTCTTTATTGTTGGCATCTAATGAGCGTCTGAAGAACATTCACATAACGCCACCCTCCCGACACCCCAGGACAATCCCTGTGGCTGGAACAATAAACAGTCGCTAGTAGCAGGGATTTTACAAGGTACAGTCATTTATTATGGGGTATGACGGGAACGATTTATCGTCACGCAGCAGCATGGGCTTTGTTTAGCTGACAAACTAAATGCCCAGACTCAGTCAGAAAATGCAGGTGGAAACAACTAACCCATGACTCCAGTTATACTGCCTGAAACAAGAAGAAATACAGGTTTTCACTAGCATGAAAGAAGTCCCCTACATTTCTTGAAATTGTGCTCTTTTTGTTGGATATTTGGGCCAGAGCAAATACCATAAAACCCCATTACTAAAGTGTTGCTGACATCACAATGGAATTTTAATAAACCCAAAAACACTTGCATGTAAATAAGCAGTACCGTGACCATATGTTTTTGATATATCTATTTACAGGACCATAGAGCTTAAGAAACATACAGAGTAATGCAGAAGACTTTCTGGACAGAATGCCAGGCCATCAAGGAGATGATGGAGGCAGATCATGAGACACATGCAAAAACTAGGGCCAGATTCAAGGCAGGAAATGAACAGGACATGCATAATCAGTATCACTGTCACATAGGTGTAACCCGGGACGTTGGTAGGCCTATTTTAGGGGGGCTTTAGTCCTCCTAAAATGTTTTTTAAATCCCCAACTAAATGTGTATTTAAGTTATGAATAGCTTTTTATATTATATATAAATTTGCCACCAGCCCCCCTCCCCCCCAATAAAGACTCACCCCCCCCAGTCATCTCTTACTACACCCTTGGGTGCTGCAAACATCACCGCATGACAACCTTTTAAGATACAGAATCCTCATCAACGAGAAAGATTTTTGGAATAAACATATTTATGGAAGCGACACAAATACAAAGAGAATAGAGTCATTTAGCCTCTAGTTTGAATATGCATTAACAAAATAGCTATTTGACCCTGAGGGTTAGGGCACATGCAAAAATAACTGTAATTGTTTTAGCAGAAATTATAAATGCCAACATCACTGTTCCTGTCCATGGTAAATAAATGCAGGACATACACGGAACAGTGAATCACCTGAAGTTTGGTATTTTATTGTCTTGCCTGGCATTTAAAAAAATTTCAAATGCTTTCCGGATATTAAAATGGTAATTCTTCACAAATCACACGATGACTTAGTTGGTAAAAGAGTAGGGTCACTGATGGACTCAAGCAATAGCTCCCCCCATCCCCCATGCCTCCATGCCGGAAAAAAATCGTTGCTAAAAAAGTGCACATTAGAGTGGTGAAAACGCTGCTGTTGGCTGCCCTTCACATGATTTAGTACTGTCTAGGGTACCCTCTTTATATGATGATGTGCCCTATAGACCAAAAGAATCTGATGAAGTGTTTAATGAGTGCCCTTCTAGTTGAGAGAATGTGATGCAGTGCCCTATCAGGTGCTCTTACAATGGAAAATGGTGCTGTTATGAAGTGCCCTTCTAGTGGAGAGAATGTGATGCAGTGCCGTATAAGGTGCCCTTACAGTGGTCTAAGTGGTCCCTATGGGTACCCTTCCAATGGAAACAGATGCCAGTATGAAGTGCCCTTTTAGTGGAGAGAATGTGATGCAGTGCCCTATAAGGTGCCCTTACAGTGGTCTAAGTGTTCCCTATGGGTACCCTTCCAATGGAAACAGACGTCAGTATGAAGTGCCCTTCTAGTGGATAGAATGTGATGCAGTGCCGTATAAGGTGCCCTTACAATGGTCTAAGTGGTCCCTATGGGTACCCTTCCAATGGAAACAGATGCCAGTATGAAGTGCCCTTCTAGTTGAGAGAATGTGATGCAGTGCCGTATAAGGTGCCCTTACAGTGGTCTAAGTGGTCCCTATGGGTACCCTTCTAAAATGGAAAAGGGTGCTGGTATGAAGTGCCCTTCTAGTGGACAGAATGTGATGCCCTTTTATTTTTTCACCCCTGCCCTTCAAACTGCCTGAATCCACCACTGGGTAGGGTGAAAATTCACACTGGCCTCTGTTTATCCAGTCAGCATGACCTGTACTTATTTATCATGGAATAGTAGGTTGCTTGTTTAATATATATTTTAAAAAGTATTCTATATTAATTAACCTTGAGTGTATGCACACCCACACACAGATTCTCCTCATTTTTAAAGCCATACATTTCGTATAGGGATCCCCACAGCAAAACATAACTTCATTTTATGTCAAAAAGTCAAACCTAAAATTTATTCCTAGTATCTGCCAGAGGCCTCCCTGTGTTGGACACACATTTGTATGCAAACTGTGCAAATAAGGAGAGCAGGACTGAAAGTGTTCTGATTTCTCATTTATTCATAAAGTGAATGCTTTTTCTTTATTCTGATGATATATATTTGATGTTATAAATATGGAAACACCACAGCCTTGGAGGGTATTCCACAATTTAGCAAGTAAGCCTTTTCATCACATTCTATTATTTATTTGAACACCCTTCTTCAGCTCCACATTTCACACATCACATTCACATCTTTACCAACCTTAGGTATTGCTTTTTGACACCAGATACTTCATGTATAATATAGGAGATGCTGAACACAACAGAATATCCGCCTGTCCACAAAGTATGCTTAGGAAATCCTTAGGAATCCAATTGGACAGCTGAAGGCTTGGAATGCGTGCAGGTTAGTGATGCGCGGGTCGTCTCGTAACCCGCGGGCCCCGCGGGTAACCCGCGGGTCGGGTTGGGGCGGGTAAAGAAATTGTCACTTTATTTGTGGGGCGGGCTGGGGCAGGCCAAATAATTTCATAAAAGCGGGACCCGCGGGTTGGAAAAATACCCGACATGCGCATCACTAGTGCAGGTCCTTCCGAGCGCTCCTGCAAAGTTACTTACCCTTTTAGGTAAAACCGAATTATATCTGACTCCAATTTAATTAAAGACATTTTATGGTGTTTTAGTCATGACGTTTCTGTTATTCAGATTACTCCTGGGCTGTGCCTTCTATTGCTGAACTCCCATTTATCCCGGACGGTGGAGTACACCGGATTCGCCTTGGCCGAGAGGGCGATCCATTGGTCTGCTACGTAGGACTCGGTTCAGAAGGTGGGAAATCCCTACAACATAATACAATGTCAGCCTAGACAACTGTTTGGGCCCGGCGACCTATATAACTCCTCAGAGACTCAGCCGACACTTGCCGTAACTCCACTTGTGCGCGCCACAGAGGCTGAGCCGGTATTCATCATAACTCAACTTGGGCAGTCGCATTGGGTCTTGGAGAAACGGGGTCAAGTCAGAGGCTACAAGAGAGCGTTAGAAATAAACGCAGTCTATGGGAAACATGCAGAGGTTAGCAAAGTCAGACAGCCAATTAGTAATCAAAACACAGTTTATTCGCAATTAATACAAGACACATCAATTTAACAAAATATAACATTAATGTAATTCAAACATGTGGCCTCAATTCCTAAAGTATACCATCCAATCAAAAACAATACAACAATTACATACCTCAGCTGAGTGGACACAGAGTAACTGCAGAAAATATCTGATTACAGATGTAGATTCACGCAGCATGTGGGAGCTCTGACTACTCTGGAGCTCTTTCTTAAGTATTCCAGACCAAGTGACGGGATGTCCATCCATCCATCCATCATCTACCGCTTGTCCGGGGTTCGGGTTGCGGGGGTAGCAGCTTCAGGAGAGATACAACAACAACAACAAATTTATTTTTGTATAGCGCATTATCACAACATTACATTGTCCCAAAGCGCTTTACAGCATCCCCACCCAAAGCCCCCAGTGAGTAAGCCATAGGCGACAGTGGCAAGGAAAAACTCCCTAGAAGGAAGAAACCTTGGGAGGGACCAGACTCAAAGGGGGAGCCCATCCTCCAGGGGCCGGCAGGGAGATACCCAGACCTCCCTCTCCCCAGCTACCTCTACCAGCTCCTCGGAGAGGACGCCGAGGCATTCCCAGGCCAGCCGAGAGATATAATCCCTCCAACGAGTCCTGGGTCTGCCCCGGGGCCTCCTCCCTGTAGGACATGCACGGAAAACCTCTCTGGGTAGGCATCCGCACCAGATGTCCAAACCACCTCAACTGGCCCCTTTCGATGTGGAGAAGCAGCGGTTCTACTCTGAGGCCCTCCCGGATATCCGAACTTCTCAACCTATCCCTAAGGGAGACACCCTGCGGATAAACCTCATTTTGGCCGCCTGTATTCGCGATCTCATTCTTTCGGTCATTATCCATAGCTCATGACCATAGGTGAGGGTAGGGACGAAGATGGACCAATAAATTGAGAGCTTTGTTTTTCGGCTCAGTTCTTTCTTAGCCACGACGAACCGGTTAAGCACCTGCAAAACTGTAGACGCCGCTCCGATTCGTCTATCCAGCTCCCAATCTCGCCTACCCTCACTCGTGAACAAGACCCCGACATACTTAAACTCCTCCACTTGAGGCAGTACGTCTTCCCTGACCTGAAGAGGGCAATCCACCCGTTTCCGGCTGAGAACCATGATCTAGGATTTGGAGGTGCTAATCTTCATCCCCGCCGCTTCGCACTCGGCTGCGAACCGCCCCAGAGCACGCTGGAGGTCCCCAGCAGATGAAGCCAACAGGACGACATCGTCTGCAAAAAGCAACAAGGCAATCC